GGGTGTGGATGGTTAGGGGTGGGATGGTTAGGGTGTGGAGGTTAGGGGTGTCTATGGTTAGAGGCCATGGATGATTAGAGGTGGAATGGTTAGGAACCAGCCAATATTGGTGCATGGTTGTTGGCAGCAGAAGAGACACGTAGGTCTCAGCAGGTTATGGTGTGTCTGGTACAGTGTAACTGGCCACATGAGCCATTTCAGTGGACTCATTCCACGGACCTTTGGAGGCACTTGCTCAGGCTCAGAAGCTGTGATGCTGTCCCTGCCCCCAGGGAGCTGAGGACAGACCTGAGTTCACTCGTCCAAGTCTCTGATGTTTGGCATCTTGGTGATCCAGGGTTTTCCCTGTTACAGACAATGCACTCCTCCCTCGTGGCAGAACCTGCTAAAGGCACAGAAATAGCCATTCCTTTCTTCCTTAGCAACACAATGCTTATTTTATTCTGGGCAGCGATGTTCTGACTAAAATCGGACCAAATGTCCTTTGCCGTTTAGGGTGTCATGTGACATATCTGAGGAAGTTGGCAAATTCTGAGAAACCTCTGTAATAAAGAGACAGGTAGGTATGTGGGGTTTTTTGTTGGTTTTTTGTTTTACCATTTTCCTACTTTCTCCTGCTTCCTGTCCAGCAACACAGGGGATGGAGGAGATGGCTGGCTCTCCAGCAGCCTTCCCGGACTATGAGGCACTCTTGAGGATGAATGCCATAAGAACCCCGAGCCAGAAAGACAGCATCCCCTGGGGTCTGACTGCTCCGTGGAGCTGCTGCTTGGGCCTGGCTTCTGTTATGTGAGAGAGACATAAAATTCCAGCCCATGTCAGTGTTATTTCCAGACTGTCATTTGTAGCTAAACTCAATTTTTAGCAGAGAATTTAATTTAGTCCCAGAAAGGGGAGGGGATACTGGCCATGGCAGGTCCTAGGACAATGGTTGACTCAGTGGTGGCAGCCGAATGTGGGTGAGGGGATCATAGGACCCACCCACTGCAGGCCGGAAAGCTGGTGACCTGTGTCGTGTTGCGGGAATCGTGTGGTGCAACTGTCACCTGGTCCACCTTGTCGGGCAGACCAGACACAGGCCAAAATGGCAGAATGAGGGGAAGCGGTGAGGAAAACTTGGAACTCTGTTGAGGTTGGTCCCTTCTCGCCAAGTCTCCCTGAGGAAGACAGGCTCGGCTGGTGCTATCACCTGCAGGAAACACAGTAGGACCCGCTGCTTTCCAGGGGAGGGGCTCCGCTGTGGCCTGTGGCCTCGTCATGGGAGCTCTGCAGGGCTGTCCTCCAGACGGCAGCACGTTTAAGGGGTGCTCAGCCCCAGGGCCCACCTCATCTGTTATTTCCCACAGCTCCACTGGGAGCCAGTCCTGGCGACCTTCCCCAGGTCACCTGCTGACCTCTGAGACACTGTCAAATCTGAGACAGCCCTGCCCTCAAGGAGCAGCCAGCATGGGAGGGGCAGCAGTGAGCAGGGGTGTGACAGCTGCAGAGGGCAGCATCACGACCCCCATGTTATGAGGGAGCATGTGTGAGGGGGAGCCCCAAGGCTCTGGGGGAGAGCCAGGCCTTCCCTTTATCTCTAGACTGGCTCCCACCTGGGGCTGCAGCGCCGGGGAGAGGTCAGGACCCAACAGGGGGAGGGGGGCCCATGGGTGTGCAGGACCCCAGGCCATGGCAAACGCCCCCCACGCAGCATGCATGCACATGAGCCCCAAGTCGAGAGAAGGGCTGCTGGGTGTGGGGGGAACCTTGGGGCTCCCCGCTCACTCTGCCCCCCCTTCTGTGGGGTCCACAGCAGCCCTGCTCCTCTTGGGTTTGTCCACCTGGGTCTGGAGGCTGGGCCCAGAGGCTTCGGTTAGCTGAGAGCAACTCCCTGGCCTGGGGTTCACTCCCGTGGGGCGGTCGGAGGGCCGGGCTGGCTCCCATCTGTGGGGGGAGGACCTGGACGCTCGGATCCCTGCCCTCCCTCTAGCTCCAGCTGCCACTTCATTTTACTTCCACAAAATACCCTCCACACAGGCCTCGCCCCGCAGAGGGTTTCTACCAGCTCTAGACCCTTCCCATCATGTTACAGCTGTTCGTGTCCTTAACCCCTTGTTAACACACGGTTAGTCCTCCTTGCATCTAGTCCCAGGCTCAGGCCCAGGTCTGGGCTCCAGTCCCCTCTCCTGGGAGACCCAGCTGCTTTCCCAGCCAGGCTGGGGGGGTCACAAGAGAGCCCAGAGCCCATTACAGTGACATTTAGATTCCAATGGTGTGCCTGAACCCCCACCTCCCTCGTTTTCCAAAATGCCTCTGGCTTCCTGTTCAGAGAACTTTCAAGAGACTTTCCAAGTTCTGCTTGGGAACAGTGTGGTTCCCTGGGGCACCAGCTGGCATCTCCTGCAATTATCCTTAAATTACAGGGACAATTTTAATTTCACAATAATTAGAAATATCAACTGCAGCTCAAGCCTTCGAAACTAATGGAATTTTAATGGGCAGCTGCTTAGGTTACAGCCAAGAATAGTAACACGCTCCACCGAGCCCAGAGCCTGGAGCCCTGAGCACCCGCCTCTGTGCGGGAAGGAACAGGGGCACCCCCAGGGTGCCCGCCCAGCAGGCCCGAGCCCAACACTCTTTGGTCACCCTAAGGTGGGGAAGTGAGGTTTGGGGGTGATGGGACTCACCCTGGCAGGTGGAATGGGACCTACATCCAGATTGGGACCCCAAGTTCAGTGTATTTCTTCTAAAACGTAGCCCTGCCCCAGGTCTGCCCAGCCCACAGCCTCCATTTTTGGGTCGAAGCTTCTTTCCAGCCCCGGCCCAGCGCCCACCCTCCCACCCCCGCCTCGTGCAGCCTGAGCCCACAAAAGGCTTCTTCAGTGCGGATGCAAGGCTGAGGTGGTCCCACTGCCACTCGGGCCGTGCTGGCCCCAAGCAGACAGCCAGGGGTTCGCGAGGCCCCCCTCGCTTGCCTCTCCTCTCAGAATTATAGGCCATTGCCCCAGAGCCGATGTTCCCATGTTTTGTCTGGTTTCCAGCTGTTTGAAGTGCAGGGCGGTGAGTCGCCAGCCAGGACCTGTGATGACACCACGGTGGAAAATGGCAATTAATGATGGCTGTCAGTGGGCAAAGATTTTCTCAAAGAAAATCAGACTTATTTATTTTTCTTTTATGGCTAGAGTTTTTCA